CCCCAAAACCCCAAAACCCCAAAACCCCATAAACTCTATCAATAATAAGTGAAGTGAATTTAATGATCGAGATTTACAACTAGATAAATCAATTTAGGATTATCATCCCACGATTAAATTCTTATCATTAGACGACTTCTGTTTTGTCCTGTTTATTGATTGGATCTGCCTGGATCATGATGAAGTGATCAAATTAGATAAGATCTGAATCACTGAGATCGCTCTAAATCAGCTTAGGCATTGGTAATTTGATTCCTTTCTTCAATTTCTAGTTCATGCTGTTTTAGATTGGAGCAACAAAGACTTGAATCTGATCTTGAATGTCTTCAACTGTAGATTTAGTCTCGAAGAATGCCTTCATATTGTGGACCGTGAAAGTTACATTTAGAACCTTTCCAGTCAGATTGAAACCTGAAAGAACTTCAAGCTTTAGCTCTACCTCGAGCTTGCTGTAAATAATGCAGGCATCATACTAATCATTATATGGATTTTTAATATGAAGTCTGACATCAGTCTCAATAAATGTCTTATCCTTAGTGATTCTAAGGCTTGGTTTGCTCTCATCGGCTTCCATTATCATTCTAGCCTTGGATGTTTTACCAAAGACAACTGCAAAGTTGTTAAGAATCATTTCAACAATCTATGACATAATTTCTCCCTAATCAAGCTTCAAGGAGCCCATCTAATGTAATGTCTATAGAATCGAATTCAAGGATTGCTCAGAGATGTAGATTTAGATCTCTTTACCTTGATCATAATATGAGGGGATCTCTTAAAGCTCAACTGATTAGTGATCACCAGTAGGCTCATGCATAAATGTTCCATCGAATGACACAGTCATATAATCTTTATTAAATACTGGCTCTCCAATCAATGTATAGTTGAGATATACCTAGTTCTCCATAACAGTAAATATTGATGGATTGGAAAATAGAAGTTCATTGAGTCTTTGCTCAAAAGTCTTGGCAATTTTCATAGATAGGACATTACCTACCTCATTCTTGAAGAAGGTTTTGAAGTTTTTCAAAATAATATTGAAAATCTTAGTAAAATCTGTTGATCCGTCAAACTTAGCATTATAATCAGTGATATTCACAATTGAATCGGAAAAATCTACTTGAATCTTACCATCTTTTGCAAAAGGAATCAAGTGAAGTTGAATACTTAGATCTTTTATATCAATTTTGCCAAGACCGGAATCACTTAGCCAGTCTGGCTTCGAGTTTAAGGTAAAATTAGTCTGGAAACTAAGATCAATACCTTCTAGCTTAAACACTAGATATGGCTATTTGTCATTAATTGCTATGCTAGATTTATCTGAATCGATGTCAAATGAGATCAACTTTTGATTAGAAAGATCAATGAAAACTTTGCCGATTCCAGCGTTAAATTGCTTTTTAGAGTCAGCCAATTCAAAGTCTTGCATTTTCTCTTCAAATAGATCCATTACCCATGTTCTGTACTCCTCAAAGAATTTCGATGTGAATGTTGTGGTCATTCCAGCTCTAACAGTAGGAGCCTATTCCAGATTTATATTTTTCTTTGATTAGGCTGTAATCATGTTATTTATGAGGATCAGAGCACATACTCCTAGAATTTTGCTATTGACTATTGTCATATTTGTTATTATATTTTAATACTTTAATACGAGTGATTATTTTTATCTCTAAACATCTAATTACGCTGATTAAATTTCTAATTGCGGGGTTTTGGGGTTTTGGGGGCATCACATAGG